AGTAAAATTGCATACAGTCATGAGAAATTTTAATTTCTAACTTCTAGTTTTATGTCTGTAATTCTACCAGAAACTAATCAGTGACATTTTGAGGTAAAAGCCAAAGCAAAATGGAGGGCTTTAGCTATTGCAAGGTGGATATCCAAGATTTCAAGCACATCACCTAAGAAACATTTTGTGGAAAGCAAGATAAAATTTATCAAAATATTATTTTAATAAAGATGTAAGCTGTTGGAAAACAGCATTTGGGAATGGGAGTTGCTTGCTGTCTAAGTCCTTGTAATTTGTGTATGCGTATGATGGAGAGACATGCACAAGAAGTAAAAACATGGAAGTGTTTTAAGGCAGCACGGCACTGTGATCGAACTGCAAGAGAGTTGCTAGTGCGACTGGTTGTGATAGTGGATCGCGATATCACAATGAGTGGCCTTCAGAGTGTTTTCTTCTCTCTTGCTTAGTTCTGCTTGGGCTTGAGATTCATTCTGGAGTTTTCCTATAAAAGAAAACTATAGGTGCATTTTAAAAATGTCACAATTGCAAAAAGGAGTAAATGCTAAAATGGAATGAACATGCTGTGTGGCATCTCCTGTCATTAGGGCTAGGGTTGAGGAACCCCAAACCATGGGAAGAGAAGTAGTTGACTCAGGGACTAAGCATTCAAGCTGAGGAGTCTTGGTGCCAGTACGCTGACTTCAGCTGTGGACCTTCTCCTGGCGGGAGGTGACCTTGGCCCAGGTGTGTGAGCTGTTGGCACGCAGGCCGCGCGGTAGCTGCCAACTGTGCTTGCTGGCTAGGTAGCCGCAGGTGCCGGCGAGGTTGCTGCTGGGCCTTTGGGTCAGCCTGGGTGACGCTGTGGGCAGTGCTGCAGGTCCCGAGTCTGCCCCAGCGCAGGGCGCTTCGGCTCTGTGCAGGCAGCAGCAGGGGCAAGCTGCCAGTCACTCCGTTAGTGCCCTGGCTGCCCTTTGGTCCGTAACGCAGGGACAGCTGCGTCTTAGTGCTGTCAGTGATGGGAAAACATGCAGGCAACGGGAGCGTTCAGATAGCTGTGATGTGGAAAACACTCTGGTGTTCTGCGTAAGATGTTGGTCTTTCTGTTCAGAAAGAGTTTTTTGGTACAGGTATTCAAAACGGTAGGTTCTGCTGAACATGCTGCTGTCACCCAGTTTGTGTGACCTTTGTTTCTTCTGCCCTCAAGCATCATCCTCTGCCCCGTCCGTGTAATGGTTTTCCTCAGTCTTGGGTGTCGGTTTATCTTTTTTTTTGCACGTTGGGCCAAAGTAACTGAGCGTTTACCCTACACCAACCTTCACCTTACAGTGTGGATTTGCTGGGCGTTCAGAAGGCGCCGGGGAGCGGAGCAGTGAGCTGAGGTAGCAGCACACGTAGTGCGTCCTCCCCTGACCCTCTGCCCTGGCCCCGAACACGCCTGGCAAATGGAGGCCTGGCGCTCTGCCAGGGCTGCTTACGCAAGGCTCTCCGTGTCCTACTTACCCGAACAAAGGCTGCTCTGAGGAGCACAGGCATCACACCTAGGTCACATAGGCAGGAAAAGCCATCCCCTGACAGCATTTTACTGAGTCATGATGGAGCTTTCCTTCATGGTAAGTCGGTGAGAATTGTCAGGTTTCAAGCGATGGCTCGCCTTGCTGAACAAACGCAGAGCCGAGAGTTATTAAGCTTTGCTAATGTCATCCTCGAGAGGAGGAGGGAGCAGAATCACTATTTTGAGGTCTCAGGCTTGGATGTAAACAGAGACAGTACAGAAAATCTTGCACTAAGAAGAAAGCAGTTCTTTCTGTGTTGGTCATTTATTGATTAGAGAAACAACAGCGACCTGGGTACTTGCCTCTTAAATCGTCAAGGACTAATTTACTAGGAGGATTGGTGTGTAATTCTAGTAGTGGAAACATACTAAGCTACCTAAATCGATGTCAGATTGCTGTTATATTACTGCCTGACCTAATGCTTTCATCAGTTGTGTTTATATGCAATCCGCTGTGCTTCTGATCCTTGGCAAGGTTACCTTGGAAATTGTTTCCACAATGAGTCAAGGACTCCAGAGGAGACAAAACAGGCTGTAGATAATTGTGCAGTTAGAGATGGCTACGAATCAAGGTATATTACGACTTGAGCTGCGGCTCTTGAAGAGAGCCTGGTACTTTTTAACATTCAGAACACTGCCTTCTAGGTAAATCCTCTTACTCGGGATTTGAATTTCTATAGACTGCTGTCTGCCTTGAGGTATTGTATGTCGTCTCTGAACTGCAGCGGCCTCTCCTGCATAATAACCATCTCGCCCAGCAGTAGCCAGCTTCAGTACCGCAACATTTGAGAGAGGTGCAGATGTTTGCTAGCCGCTTCCGTGTGTTGCAGAAATGGAAGTTGGAAGTGATGACTGGGTGTTTTTATTACTATTTTTATTTAATCTTTTTGGTCCTGCTAATTGTGATCAGCGTGGATCTGCTGCTGGCTGATGAGTTCTCTGCGTTACAACGCGTGCATGCTTTTTTGGTCTGATGTCGAATACTTAACAGACTGCTATGTATTATTTATCTGGCAAGAGGTGTAGGTTTGCTCGTGTGTGCATTTCAGAGGTTCTTGGCTTGTGAAAGGTCCTGGGTTTCTGTGTATTGCTTTGCAATAATTGTTTAGTGCAAATGGTTTATTTTGCTGTAGTTATGGGCTTTGCTTTATCCATTTCTTTACTGTTTGTAGCTTGGTGAGCAGTGCAGGCAGAAATTTAATACACTTAGAAAATTTTCATAATGTGGATTTTGAAATTAAGAAGACAGCTAACGTAGCAGTAAGAACTTAAATTTTTAGGAGGCATTGCTGAGAATATTCCTGCTTTTTTTTTTTTTTTTGCTGTACGTCAGGGATACTACTGGCATGTTTAAATATTAAAACGGTTAGATTTTCTTATGTTGTTGTGTGCTTTCTCTCAGTGAGTCTCACTGCAGTAACCCTTCTGAAAAGCTGCAACAGAACAGTTGTCAATCGTTCTTCTTTAGATCTGCTTATTTGGTATAATAACATTGCTAGGTGAGAGCAAATCTGTTCCTCTCTGCTTTATCTTTTCATATTAATTGTTAGTGACAGTGCAAGATGACACATCGCTGCAGAACGGGTTTTGTACCATTCAGATGGTGTACTTAATGTACAGGCCAAAGCATATAGGTCTCTTCCTTTTTTTTTTTGTTGGGCGAAATGCAATATAAAGTAGAGCATTTTATTTTTATTTAGCTTTTTTTTTTCCTAAGTTGCCTGCTTAGTAGAATCACTATGGTAACCGGCTGAAGGATGTCTCTGAGGCACACAACCTGCATTGCAATGTAAGTGAGGGGAGATTTTAAGTTCTCTGACTGTGGAACACTAGAAAAACGAACCGGCAAGGCAGAGAAATAAGCTAATATTTAATATATATAAGCTATAATGTAATGGTTGCTCTAAGGTTAAAAAGCTATTTTGCAAGTAATGTATATGTGAGTTCATTGTTTTCTGTGCTGTCTTCTGGGAATGATACTGCTAAAATGTTAATTAAAGATCATACATTTGTGTTACCATTCAACTTGAGTTAGTTTTATTTTTTTAAAAGCTGTTATACAGTGGGGAGGTAAGCCGTGTCACTGTGTGCCTCACAGAGCTCACGAGAGCATCAGCATTCTTTATTTTATGCTTTGCTATGGACAATAGCATTAATTTTCTAATAATTCTTCTGTTTAAAATGTTTGTTTAGAGGTTGGTGGTCTGTTAAAATATTCTAAATCTTTGAGAGGTATGTTGTATAGACATGCTATACATGAGGTATTTTTAGGACCACGAGGACAGTTATGTAGTAGCTATAGTATCTCTGAGTATGACAGTAGTGAAAGTGAGTTGCATATGCATCTGTTAAGGTTTTGGGTTGTTTTTTTTTTTCTTCCCAGCTACACTAATAAACTCCTGATGTCACCTAGTTTGGCATCCTAAAGTGCCAGAGCTAAATTGTCATTTTTGTGCTAACAAAATAAAATATACTGAAGCATCAGTAATGTTTTGTATATTTGAAGCCACCTGAAATTGTATTTTATAGATAACTGTATCTATTAACAGCAGTATTTCACATGCTTTCTTAGGTTCCTGTATTCTTGGGCCTTATTCTTTATTGTATTACTATGTTAATCCAAATTCTACACTGTGTAGGAATTTTCTATCAGGTTTATGGAAAATTTCAGAGACCTTTGAGTTTGTATTCCTGTTGCATTCATTTTAATAAATTGTGGTCACTGAATTAGCATGACCCTTGTGAAATGATAGCTCACATCAGACCTCTTGGTAGGCAGACTTCATTGCTGTGCCTCTGTGACCTTCTTTCTAGAAGAGTGAAGTGCTTGGCTCAGAAATTCAGAATGCAAAGATGTTTTAGAAGGTGCTTTTCACATCTCTTGAGGAAAAGTAATTAAAAATAAACAAGTTTAATGTTTAACTGAAGTTTTCTTAATACCTAGAGGAGAGAATGTAAGAACTTATGAACTCCTTATGGACTCATGTTTTAATGTAAAGGTTTTCATTCTAAGTGCTTTTTGACAAGAGGTCAATCTTTTAAAAATATTTAAAATCACTCAATTTGAAGGAAGAGTTTGGGGTGGGTTCCCCCCCCCCATAGTCAACTTGAGATCTTTGATGTTTATCTCCATGAGGCTGTGAGCTAGTATGAGTAAATTCCCAGTTGTGCATTCTGAGGAAAACTCAAATCTTTCAATTTTAACCATTAATTTGATGCAGTCATTCCTCCAGATGCTACCCCAGTTGTTTTTGAAGATGTCTGTTGCCATCTTACATTACTAGAAGCATTTCTACGTTTACAATTGAAACAATTTAGTAAACAGTTGAACAGAAATTGAAAATTGTTTTCTTGAAGACACATGGTAAAATGCAGTATTCATTTTCAAGTACAAAATAGATTTCTTCTTAGCAATTTGTCAAAAAAACCCAAATAATTATTTTCGTTTTTTCCCCAGCATTTTCAGTTAGCTTTGATTGACTGCAATCCCTGCACTTTGTCTAACGCTGAAAGTAAGTAACCTATAAGTGTTTCCATTTATTTTGTTGTAGATTTTTTTTTTTTTTTGTCTTATGCTCATAACTGTATCGATTTTTAATGAACCAATCCTTCAAACTCAAAAGATTCAGTACTGAGAGGGAAGAGTACAAAGCCTGTCTCCATCTGTCACTGAAGACAGACATTCCGGTGGAATTGTGGATTGTTTTAGTAAATGTAGTTAGTAAAAATTGAGATTTAGCTTATTAATTTTTCTGAAGATTTAAGTTCTGGAAGAAATACACTATTTGAATGTTTATTTATTTATAAGTGTGGTGCTTGTGCTTCAGAACACATTTAATAGTCATTATTTAAAACTTTGTGGCATCTTGATAATGTGTTGTCATTCGGCGATCCTTTCAATGCCATTTCAATTTATAGATCTAAAAATCAGTTTTATGCTGTTGAAGTAGGAAAAAGTGCAAAATGTAATTTGATTGTGTGCTAGGTGCCAACACTATATTCATCTCTACTTGAACATGCCAGTTTTTCTAGTGTATTATGATCTGTCCCATGCAGTATATACTGTAGGCTATTAGAGAGCATCCTGCAGGTACTTATCCATAGGTAGTGGAATTGTATGCTAGATGAAGTCTGTGTTCCTGCATGTTTGGGAGTCTGTAGGAATGAAAAGGCAGACAGACAGTTGTGAAGGAAATTGCTCCCTCAGCTTTTAAGGTACCTCACGGTGCTCTTGGAGTTGAGCTTAAGTTACCTCCTAAGTCTAACTGCAGAAGCACTGGATAAAGTATGTAAAAGCATGGGGTTTTTTTTCATTAATTCAGAGCTGGATGGAATTGTGACTATTCAGTCACCAAGGATAATGAAAGGGGGTTTGTGCACATGGGTGAAACTGCTGGCTGTATCGGCATCATGGCACCAGCAGTGCTAAAAGGTCTTTTCCAAAGCTTTGTCACTTAGCAGGAGCAGGCACTGATAATATTATAACATTATTTGCAGATATCTTCCCAAGTCAATAGACTTTTACTGTTTTTCTACCAGATATGTGATTCTTTATTATATGTCATGTTAGTTTGTATTATTTCTTACTTACTTCATTGGTTTTCACCGTATCTCTGAATTTTTGTAAGGTTTTCCTAACCCTTCCCTTCCAGTCCCCTCTGCCCCCAGGTTTACGTAGTGGTATTGGCCCTGTGCCCTGGGCCACGGTGCCTGGCAAACCCAAAGGGAGAGAGACGAGGAGTGGGAGATACTTTGTCAGGTTCTCCTGTACTGTTTAGGAGAACCGTGCACTCTGCACCAGGGTGTCCAGCACCTTCCCATAAATCATACCCATTGCCTTTCTGAAGGCTGGGTGAGTAACAGCCTGACAGCGAGTGTCTTCCAAGCAGAAATGTCTGAGTTCTGAGCATGTCGTCTTTCAATTTAGGCAGGCTCGATGGTGACTTTAATTTCCTTTCCCTGCATGGCATGGCTTCCTTTTGTAGCTTCACGATGAAGGTGTGTTGCTGTGTGTGTGTGGGGAAAATAAAATAGAGATTTTTTTAGATAATGAACTCCCAAAACAAAAGCGGAGGCCTGCCTTTCATTGGTACAGAGTGAAGTTTGGCGATGTGGTGAGCATAATGGGTGTGTTACGTGCCCTTTAGCAAGTAACACAAAACGTTTATTAAAATTTTAGATGATGCATTTCGTGGGGACCTGGTTTCTGAAGTGCACTTGGCTACCTTCTTTATAGTGAAGGACAAAGCAGTGCACAAAGTCAGCTTTTCCCCTTGCTGATGACCCAGAGAGAAACCCTGCATCTCTAAATTACCTGTGTAAACCTGTATGTCACATTGTTCTGAAGCTTCAAGAGAAAGAAATCTTTGTAACTGAAATAAATTGAGCTTGGCTCAAGCACAGGTTACTTTCTTACTTGTAGTCCTCAAGAACATCAGGCAAAAGTCTGACTCTGGAATTTTTTTTTTTTGTCATCAAATCAGCGTAAGGGCAACATTCATCTCAACTACCTTGACCTGTATGCCTGTTGGTGGCTAGTCTAGGTTAGCAGTTCTTAAGCCTTGGAGATCAGGCACTCCACCTTTTCTTTAACGATTTGAGCAGCATGAGGATAATTGTACCTCTCTTTTACTCCTGAGCAACTTTCATTTTCTTTCTCCAGCCAGCAGTTTTCTTTCTTCCAAGAGCTGCTGGTAGTATTATGGCATTCTGTGCAATCTGTATGAGCAATTTAAGATGCTTTGGAGTAATGGTCAGAATACCATCTGCAATTAGTGCTTTCAGTTCAGCTTAACAGGGGACAGACAATTCCTAAAAAGGAAGTAAAAGCCCACTTAAATTTAAGATCCTGTATACAGCTGGCAGTGTATAATGTAGTTTTCTGTTCTGTAACCCAGCTAGTCTGTGCTCTAGTAGTTGATTGAAAATAAAAAAATAAGTCCTTACTCCTAACTCAGTTATGTACAGAAGATGCTATCTGTGTTTTGTTGTACGTCTCTGCTTAAAGAGATTTTATTGCTACGTTTACTGAAAGGTTAATGGACTCTGCATTTCAGAATACAAATAATATCCAGGGACTGCCTTCCTGCAATAGCTGTTTGCAGTCTTAATGCTTTGTTAGGATACATACTCGTTCTCTGTCGGTTCTGTTACATTAAGCATAAAATATCAGTGTGAACAAATAATTTTTTTCTATCTTCAAAATGTACTGTGTCTTCGTTTTGAATTGATAAATTTGAAACATTGAAAAAGCATACTGTAATTCTTGTTGTCGTTCATTAAAACTAATAATTTTGATTTTCCCACTCTTACAGTTCAGTTTCACATTGCCCACTTATATGAAATCCAGGTAAGCTTTAAGCTCCTTTTTGTAAAGTGTGGTTGAGTTTCTAACAATAATGTAATCGATCTGTGGAATTCAGATTATAGATGCTTTTGTACAGTTAGGCTGAAGTCTTGAATGGCTCCAGAAACTTTATTTGCTTTGGCTAAATGAAAAATATTTTGAATGTGGACTGTCATGCTGTAAAATGGAGTAGCTATTTTAATAACTTTTATAATTACTAGTCTCCCCAGTTGAGTGCAAAAAAAAACCCTAAACATAATTTTTAGTAGAATTCTTTTATGAGATTATATATATTAAAAAAAAGGTAGTTTCACAATTCATCTTACATTCATATTGTTTCTCATACATACGCACACAGTTGAGTCTAGCCAGTTGCCCGGGTGACTTGAAGTATATTTAGCATGAAATTTTCAAATTTAACTGAACATATGTGACAGAGATTTTAGGTCTGAAGTCAGTAGCACATAAAACTTGGTTATTAATTCTACATCAAATCCTACCACAGAGGCTTTTTAGATAAATCTTTGGGGAAATTTCAGAGCACTTACTGAGGTTCCAGAATATAAGTAAATTAAAACCAAGTGGCTACTGAAACAGCTGTTGTGTTTGTAAATTGGCCGACTGATCATATAACGTAGATTGTGCGCCCTCTTGTCACGTGTGTGGGTGTTATATGACTGAAGAAGGGATGTGACATGAAAAGTAAAACTGTTGTAATTAAAATGGATGACAGACATAAACCACACTTTCAGTCAGTTGAAAAGTAGCTTGATAACGTAAATGGCAGGGTGAAAAATCACTTGAGGTGTTTATATATAAATAAAAGATTTGATAAACAAGATATTTTTCTTTTGAATGCTTTTGGTGCAAAGCTATATGACAAGACAGAAATCCCTGATCCCAAAACACCATTAAGAAACTTTAGGTACTGTTTTGGTTCTTACCTGGGCACCATCCAGATTTGATTCTGGGCACCGGAGCACATCTGGCACATTTACATAACAAAGCATCCTCTGGTCTGGTAGGGTGAAACAGGAAGGTGAACACCTCGGGTCAGGGTGCCAGGTGCCTTACCTAACTGTGTGCTTAAGCTCTGCTTTCTGACTGACAGCCGTGGGCAGCCGCAGCTTCTATTTCAACGTGGGACAGAGCAAAAAAGTTTCTGTGCATTCTGCTGTGAGACTTGGTTTGTCTAGTGGTTCTGGTTGGGAGGGGTGTTGTCTTCTCCGGAATTTGAGAAACTTGGGAACCCCAAAGGGTCTTGGCTCCATTCTGGATATTACCTCTGACACGACAAAGAGATGGTTTTGGAGGCAGGCTGGTTGTTTGGTTTCTTTTAAAGAACACAGTGCTACAGTTTCCTGAGCCTGTCCATATATTCCAAATTTATCTACTCTCTGACATTTAATGAAAAAGTTAATTAATTCCTTAATTATGCACCTTCACATTACTGCAGTTTAAATGGTGGGTTGCCACCTCTGAAGAGGAGAACAGCCTGGTGCCGATGGGAGTTAGCAGTGGTTGTTCATGGTGTTTAAAGCTAGTTGCTATGATTTCATCCGTGGCACTGTTGAGTCCCTCTAGCTGTTTAGGGTGGTAGCTTATGTGGTGTCTAAAGAAAGATGCTGGCTTGGGTTCCTCTCCCCCTTCCCATTTCTAAGACCATTCCTGATGCAGCCAAACATCAAGGACTTTGGATCTTTGGAATTAATGTCTAAATAAAACCAAATGTAAGCATTACAACAGTTTTCTGCTGTATTTTAAGTCACATACATATATAGACAGATTTCTAAAGGATAAATAATACAACAAATAACAAAAGTAAAGAATACTCTAGATCTGGAAAACATGCCCTATTTTAATAAGTCTTTCTGAATCCCCCCAAGCATGTAAACATCTTTTTCAAAGCGGGAATATTAGGCAGGAATGTTTACCTATTTGACATCTGTATTGCTGCCTCTGCTGTCATGCTGTACAGTGAACTTCTGTGCAGTTGCTTATCCTTCATAGTCATATACGACGAATTTTGTTCCCAATGCTAAATTTAAATTTTTTTCCTGATTGCTTTTGTTTTGCTGGCCATGGATATTTTATTTATTTATATTATTTGTTTTCTTACCAGTTGTCTGCATTTCATGAACACCAATTAAAAATCTTTTCTACCAACTTCCCCTTGTTCCATTTGAAAGTATGTAATTGCTGCTTTAATTTTTCTTCCTGACTAGAATAAGGTTTTAAAATCAACAGAGTTGTCTTTTGTGACTGCCAGATTTCAAGATCCTAATAACAATTTTTAACTGGTAATAGGTATTTATATTGTTTAGAGCCATCTCTTTCCCAGCTGTCCCTTTTAAAGCACCCGTAGTCAGTACTGTCTACTGTTTGCATAAAACAAATGTAACTAAGTCATGATCATTTGCGTTTAGGTAGCCCCGTTTATTTTAGTACACTCTTCATCTGTTTGCCAGATGAAGTCTAATGTTGAATTATCTGGAAGCATAAAAAGTTTAAAAACAATATCCCTCTTACTAACAGAACTCAGCATTTATGTCTTCTAGGCTTGGGGGAAAGGAGGAACAGGAAAATGAAGCCTTTAAAGTACATTCACTGTTAATTACTGTTAGAGTAACATGAAGATAAATGCTGAAGTTATTACTAAAAAATCATCTGTCAAGAAGTCTTAACCTTTAATATACACAAGCCAGCTTGTACTGTTCCAAAAATCAATAAAGACCATGATCCTAACCTAGAAACGTGTTTTCTGTATCAAGATCTGTTTATACAGGCAGTGAGGAATTGAATGTTTCCATCCATGCTTTAAGCACAATTGGACTATATTGCAAAAATAAGATGCATACCTTCATTCTCTAGGCATAATCCATGGATAAGTTTTAATTCGACCTATGGTGAGACTCTGACTAGGACAACAAATATGTTGAAAAGGCAGTTCAGATAGACTGAAGGATGGAGAGAGGCAAAATTATACCAGCCACCAATTACCGATGATCTTCAGTTGTGTTACGAATTTCATGGGAGGAATTTCTGTAGTGTTTTTTCCGATGCAGACTCACATTCAAGCATTCCCCTTGAGAGCAGTACATCCATTTTAGTATATATAAGAAGCCTGATGCATGCATGAGGAGTCGACCAAATTCAATAATTTGCAAATTTCCCTCAATTATTATAAGGAGTCAATTTATATTAAATACTATATTTATGAAAGTTATTCTATTACCATATATATACACGTCACACATTAAAGCTTTCATATGCACTGTATGCAAAAAAAAAGTTACAGAATTCTTTGTCAATGTGTTTGTGTGCTGTCAGTGCTGTGAAATCGTTGCTATTGGTGATCTGTTGTAAGCTTTATGATTAATCCCTTTACTTTTTTCCTTTTGCAGAGAAAGTATCACTCTGCAAAGGAAGCTTATGAACAACTTTTGCAGATCGAAAACCTTCCTGCACAAGTAAAAGCAACTGTCTTACAGCAGTTAGGTATGTAAAATTAACCTTTATTTTCCCGTGTGTTTCTTCTTCTCCATCTTTGCCTTCAGCAGTGTTTTTTAAGGCTCCATTTCCAAAGTGAGTCTTAGACACTATGATCTGTGAGATTTTCACCCAAAATAGAATGCATAACAGTAGATAATTAAGCAAATAAGAGAGGAGGAAAAGATTTTAATTAAACACAAAATTAAAAAGCCCTTAGACTTGCTGCAGTATGTGTGTTACAGTTTTTGGGCAGTGAGGGGGTGGTTTTCAGAGAAGGAGCACAGCAGTTAGAATTCTTTATTCTTTGCTCTGCCTCTGAGAACACCCCTTGAATAGCCAGGCTAAATGCAGTAAAACAAAATTCTCTGTTGCAGAATAGAAGAACATGGCAAATGAAATCTTAACTTTTCCTTCTCTGTAATTATAATACATAAAGAAAACCTATTTCTGTAACTAAAAAGTTTATCATCAGATTCCGTAAAAGAAACCATATAAAAAGAGAAGTTCTGTTTTTAAAATGATTGTCTTATTCCATATTTATAGAAAGCCTGATAAATGATTTTTTAGACCAAAATCTCTAATGGGTGGGTAGAATAAATTGCTTTTGTCCTATATACCTTTTAAAAGTATTTCCAGAATATTTTGTTAAAATTGTTCAACCCGGTGCAAAACTTCTTCATTCACTTTCTCCATGTTCTTCATCTAATTTATTCTAAATATTAATTTAGCCTGCTTATGCCCATTTTTCTTTTTTTGCCCTTCACATAGTGGTCATTTAATTCAGATTGGTAACTGGCACTAAGTTATGGCCACAGTGCTTTCTTTTTTAGTAATGCAGGTTGTGTATGGATTTGAAGTGGGCTAATTTGTTTAGCTTTTGATTCTTCTGTGTGAAATGACAATTGAAACTGCAGGACTCCAGGAGCTGATCTTTTTGCTGTCGCATGACAGTGTTGCTTATATTTCAGTATCCCTTGTGCATTTTTCTTTTAAACTTGGTATTATCCCACCTAGTGTAAGTTGTTGGCAGCTTCATGGCCAGTGGAAGACTGGCTTCCCAAAATAGCTGAGCAATGCTTTTTCAATTCCATTTGTTGTGTGTCACCACATTAAAAGGAAAAGTGCATGGTTGTATTCATCCTACCACAGGTCTCTGAGGTGGCAGTAAGAGCAATGGCTTTGAGAGTTGTCTGCTGGATTAACTCCATTTCTTCAGTCAGCCAGGGTTACCTATGTAGTGTGAGTAGTTGCTTTGTGGAGAAAGGGACAGGATGGTTGCAGCCAGAACATTCAGGGGATAACACAGTTTCTGTTGCTCTTTGCTGCGAACAGTGGCATTTATCAGAGTGTAGTGTTTACGCAGATTCAGTCTCTCGCAGCTGGTAATAATTCCTCCTCAGGAAGCCTAGTTCGGGTGCTGCACTGATGCTTAGAAAAAGTAATAGAAGATACCTACCTGCCATCTGACAGAATGCGACTGGCAAAATCCAATCAAAATACGTGTGTATTTCTGTGTTGAACTCTCTTTCTGTTGTCGTAAAAAAATAAGAAATTTTTTTGGCATGAGAGCACCCCATATTTATGTTCCTTAGCTAGTTAATGTTTAATCGAGCCAGAGTTGAAATTTAGGCAAGTTCAGATGTCTTGTGAGATTATTCAAATCTTTGCTGGTTTTCAAAGCAGATGGCTGTGGAGGAGCAGCACCCTGTGATTCTCAGATAAATGTGTATACTTCTGGGCGGATGCACGCTGACTGGTTTGGGTAGATGTAATAAGATCTGTAGAGTTGGATAAGAGTGGTTTGTTTCTTCTTTTTTGCCCTTTCATCTCCTTCCAGCCAATAAGTCTTTTCACCGCTTTGGCTGAACTTACATCAAATTAATGAGACTGGAGATAAAATCTGTCACGGTGTTCTCTCTCCAGTTGTACTCAGCAGTTGCGTAAGGAAGAACAACTCAAGCACCTGCTTAGGGTTCCCGAAAGCACTCTCCCAGTGATTTTCAGCTAGGGGCATTCCTAGGTGGTGTCCGCGTAATTGGATGAGACATCATGAGATGCTAAAAATGGGAAGAGGGTCATCTCTTCTGAGACTGAGATGATGATGTTTACTGGAGAAGAAACAATTGCCACAAATTCAGCATGAGAGTGATTGATAAGCATAAAAACCCCCTGAAGCGTGAGCTGGGCTAGCATATCCTCTTGCTGAGGCAACAGAGAGTTTTGTTACAAATTAGAGCGTGGAACATTTGTGAATTACAGACAAAACCTGTGGGTTTGTTTATGATGTTAAAAGTGTCCCAGGAGTGGAAGAGTAGTCAGTGTGCTAATTGAGAATTTGAGTTGGGTCTTGCAAATTAGAACCTCCTTTCTATACGTTCTTCATTTTATGCATGAGAAGAGGGATCCAGTTTCCTATACCTGTGCTATTCTAGTGGAAAACTTCTGTTTGTTCTCCCTCACCCTCTCTCTTGCCTTCTGCCTTTCTCACCTTCCTGTGCAGGAAGACAAAATTGAGAACCAACCCTTGTTTCAGCAGAGAAACTAGGTAGGGATTGCTAGTTCTTATCTCTGTCTCCCTGAAATAGTTCTTTCCTCTTACCAGTGAACCTCAGGAAAGATCTCCTGAAGATACAACATGTTATCTTTCAGTCCAGCAAGGTTCTGATGAAACAGAAAATAAGCATCGCCACACAACATTTCCAAAGATTCAGGAAATTGTTTAATGTCTTTTTTTACCCTTGTTTATAACCCCTGAACTATGAGCTTCATCTCAGGCTTTGCCCAGCACTGCACCCGACACCTTTACCTTAGTGCATGAAGGTGCATTCTGACAACCCCCCTCACATAAGCCTTGTTTATTTCGAGCGTGTGTATTTTCTGTCTAAAAACTTCAGTGGCTTGGGATTTGAATCAAAATCGTAGCTTGTTTATGAAGTCCATCAGATAAAGTTGTGTATCTGTCTCTACAAAAATTATCGTGGGGTGTTTTTTCTGTTTTGGGGTTTTTTTTCTGGCAGGGTGGGGGTTTGACTTGGTCCGTCTTCAGACAAGAAAAAGTGCTCTTTTGTCAGCACGGTAACCACTTGGCTCCTAACCTGACATTTCTTGCACTCTGTGGACTATTTCAGCTTCTGCTTCTGACCACAGTTTCCAAGTGGTATTTCTTTAAACACCTCAGGCAAACATTGCTGGATAGATAGGATTTTCTTCAGATTGCCTTTCTTAAAGCTTGGAAGTTTGCCTTCCATTTGCAAAAGGGTCACTGTGACTGAACGGACTGTAAGCCCATGGTGTAAAATACAAGCTGTATAGAACAGGTAGGATAAAATATTTGAGGTATACTCCAATTGCAGGGAGTGAAGTAAGACTGCAAATACTCATCAGTTCAGTTCTCAGCCTTGCCTGCTTGGTCTAGCCCTACAGGTGAGATCTGAACTTGATCTGGACCTTTTGAGTGGTATACCTGTTCAAGTAGTTAGGCTCTATCGAACAGGGCAATCCCAGGGTGCTGAGGATTAGCTGAGGGGGGTTTTAGATAGACATTCAGTGCAGACGTGTGTACAACTCTTTAGGTAATTAAAACTTTGTACAAATCTTGAAGATATAATGAAACTGGTATCATAGTGTTCCACAAGTGACTGTTCATGGGTGGGACATTGTAAAAACAAAGGGGCAACCCACAGTAGCATCTTATATTTTACAAATGTTGGCTGAAAAGCAGCAAATTGTTAAGACAAATACATGGATCGAGCAAGCAGCAAGACATTGCTGACCAGTGGGGTATGTTCGTAATTTCAGCAAGCCAGCTGCCTGTTACAAAGGATTTCCTTGTACACAATATGAATGGCAGTGAGATGATTTTGTGGCTGCTTAAAGGAATTCTGCTTAAGCATAGGAGCAGCTTGAGAAGATGATGGAAGTGCTGTATTGGAAATGGTAACCAAGACTTGCATCAGTGCTAGGGCAGAGATGTGTTTTAATGACATGTAAAAGATCATATTGGAGCATGGACTGGGGGAGGCCTTTAAAGTGAGAATGAATAATTTGTGTAATGCAATGAAAGAAAAAAAGGCAATTGAAAGAATGTGATGTGTAGTTAGATGAGGAAATAAAATGATTCCTTCAGTAGAGTTTGTTTTGTAGAGAAGAGGTGAATGGAAAGGATGTATCAATGAAGATGAAATGGCTGTGTAAGAAAGATTTAAGTGGAGATACTAAATTTCTTACCCATGTTCTGTTGGGGAATTGTCCAAACGTAGGTATGGCATAAATAAGAGGATTTAGAAGAAATGGAGTAAGGTGAACATAGCATACACAGATAGCTGATGTCTGTGATAGGGAAAATGTTGGCATTTTTCACAGTGACCGCAAAGATCTTTGTGTTTAGAGGAGGAAAGAGTCAACGTTTTCAGATTAACCTTTTACAGTAAAAGATTGAGTGGTTCAGGGTTGTGCTACTAACAGCATAGAAGATGATTTAAACAAAACGCTTTAAAAGTACCTAAAAGTAATTTTTACGTAGGGTCTTTTTGTTCTGTGATTTTAGTATAGAACTTTAAAAGTTTTTAAAGTTTCATTCATGGTATTATATGTAAGTGATATTACTGTTTGATATTCCTGTTTTTAAAGAGGAGCTAAGGCTGTGAATATCCTGCTGTGCCAGAGTGTTAAATGGTCTTAGGGAATTTCACTTCTGCCATTTACGGATTCTTTTTGTAGGCTGGATGCATCACACCGTGGATCAGCTTGGAGACAAGGCAACCAAGGAAAGCTATGCTATACAATATCTTCAGAAATCTCTAGAAGCAGATCCAAATTCTGGTCAATCCTGGTATTTCCTTGGAAGGTGAGAAATTACAGACAGTAACTATATTTATGATTGAGGATACTCATTATTGTGAGTATCTTCCATTGTTTTTCTTAATGCTTTCAGAGGAAAAAGTAAGGGAAAGGATGTATGTATGTACTGAAGTCTAGTTTTCTGCAGTGGGTTTAGAAAGACAAGGTGCCAACGTATAGGGAATGAATATAGATGAGAAGTTGAAATGAAGAATCTTACCCCAGTGGTCCTACTTTTTTGTAGTTACTGTTCAGTGTACACGTTTACATTAATCTGAGTCTGCCCTGCCTGGTTTTAGCTGTACCTCCTGCTACTATCACATCTTCTATTCTCTCCCTTTTATCTTACCCTCTCCTCCCCCTTCTTTTTTGGTAAATGCTCTGTAAATGTTACTACTTTTCTTCATATATTTTTCACAATTTTTTCTCTCACTATTTTCTCAGAATCTTCCTTCTATTCTCAATCAATTTTTGCACTAAAATATAAGTCCTTTCTCAGGTTTACTACTGTTTATAAACAGCATATATTGCAACTAAATATTAGGTCAGGGTAGCTCAGATTCATCCATCTGGGCTGGAGCACCTCTCCTATGATGAAAGGCTGCAAGAGTTGGGCTTGTTCAGCCTGGAGAAGAGAAGGCTCTGGGGAGACCTTATAGCCCCTTCCAGTACCTGAAGGGGCTACAAGAAAGCTGGGGGGGGACTTTTTACAGGGGCCTGTAGTGACAGGACAAGGGGGAACAGGTTTAAATTGAAAGTGGGGAGGTTTAGATTGGATATCAGGAAAAAGTTCTTCATGAAGAGGGTGGTGAGGCACTGGCACAGGTTGCCCAGAGAAGCTGTGGGTGCCCCATCCCTGGAAGTGTTCAAGGCCAGGCTGGATGAGGCTTTGAGCAACCTGGTCTAGTGGAAGGTGTCCCTGCCCATGGCAGGGGAGTTGGAACTGGATGGTCTTTAAGGTTCCTTCCAACCCTAACCATTCTATGATCTAATACCTACTGAAGTGTTGTAGTAATTCTGTACTACCGTGCAATATTTTTTACTTGAAAATTAACTTACTCCAAGATGTAACTATACAAATTTGATTTTTTTTTTCCCCTTGGTCTCCTTCTTAAGAAAATAGTGCTTTACACAAACCAGAGTAGCTCTTGAAATAATCAGGTTTTGGAAAAAGCTTTGAGAGCCATTCAAGTCCATATGTGAACAGGTCAGTTCTGTCAAGAAATACGTTAGAAAGGAATTATGCAAAAATAAAGTTAATTAAGGAATTATGCAAAAATAAAGTTAACCTCATCTCGGAGGTTCTGGTTCCATGCAGCTTGAACCTACTTCTGGTTTTGTCATCCTAATTACATTCCTCCAACTGTTCTGTAAGACAGGGCTCTTCGTCTGCAGGCTAAGAGGGGAATGCTGGCACTGAGTGTGGGGGGCAGAGGGCTAGAGCAGGTGTGGAGGGAAAAGGGAAAACGAACCAAGGTTCATCTGACTCATCTTGTCATCCACCCTGCTGAAACCCTGGGTTTTTTCCTCAGTAGTCCCATCCCACGTGCCATGAGCTAGTTGGGTTTTTAGACAGCAGCAGGATGGAGCCGGGGCTCCATGAAGTATGTGTGCAGAGCTGCTGTGCTCCTGCTCCTCCATGGCTTTTCTGTGGCTAGAATGAAACCTAGGACCATACAAACAAGGGAGAGAAACACAGGAAATGGGAGAAGGAATCTAGTGGAAGCATCTTTTACACTTACAGGGAGGACTAGGGCAAAAATGTTTCTGTGCCCCATTCCTCCCATCCATACTTTGGCAGGAGAAGAGGAAAGGGACATGGTTAGAGGTTGTGCGTTCATTCTTCCGCTTTTTCCCTCCTCATGTATTCCCTTGTGTTATTCCTTCCTCTGCTGGCTATCCAAACTGGATAGCAAGTTGGTTTAAAGCTACCTTTCAGAAATACACCACCACTTTCCTTCCACGCTGAAAAGAAAATCTGTCACCCTGTTTTAAGCTTTGTTAGGTGCTTGATGTTAGTGGTATCCTAATAAGTCTTCATGTATCTTGTAAGCAGACAGATTGAAAGGTGCCTGTTGGAAGCTGGGTTAGATTGTGATTAAAATGATCTTCTGAAACATGGTATTCAGGCATAATGGATGTTTTCAGGCAAAGTGCTGCTGGATTTTATTGTGTTCCTTTCCTGGTGTGCCTCAAGAATACACGAAAGAAAAGACAGACCTTTGTCTGTACTGTTCTTCTTGGGTTTTATTTTTTACTAGAATACATTTTCTGTTGTTATTTATGTGTTGTGGAAGTTGTCAGGTTTTTTTCCAACAGGGAAACTTTGCAGACAATGTAAGAAGCAGAGCTATTGTAGATTAAACTAGCAAATGTATACATGTGTTTTTAATATGGTATTTATTTGAAGCTTTTAATGTTAAAAAGGTAAGTATTATTCCCTGTGGTATAATTGTAGTTCTCTAAAGAGTTGTGGTATTTCTGCGTATAATGTCAGAACAACTTTGAATCTGTGCGAAAAATATTCAAATAAGAAATTACGAAAAAATGCACAACAGCGAGATTTTTTGACAAAATTTCATGCTCTATATATGCAGTAAAACTAATTGGTTGTTTATTACTTGAAATCTTCTAAAGATGTGAGAAATGCACACATAAAAAGCTTCCCAGGCAGTCAGGAACCATACTGATTGACTTTGGTCATTATTTTTTAATGATTCTGAAACAATTCTTGTAGGACATGGAGTTTTGTAACCATTTGTTTGATGAAATAGGTAACTTAATTGTTTCTTTATAATGCTGTCTGTAGGTAAATATCATTCTTATTGACTGATAAGTAACCACAAATAAAAGAAATGTACATCTTCAGAATGTGGTATCGCTCTGTTTTCCTTACAAATGTAGTAAGCTAGGGTTTAAGTAGTTTTGGTGTACTTTTCAAATAAATAATTAGTAATATATGTTGATTAAGATGTTTCAGTCTGCTTATGCCTGGCGTTCAGAAACAGCAAATATTTTGGATTCGCCTAAATGAGTATGTATTTGCATGACTACACATTTATCAGATCAGTCTTGGTAAGCCATCCTCAATGATTACCTTCTATAAATATTACCAAAGTTCTTCTCTTCTTCTCCCAGGTGCTATTCAAGTATTGGGAAAGTTCAGGATGCCTTTATATCTTATAGGCAATCTATTGATAAATCAGAAGCAAGTGCAGATACATGGTGTTCTATAGGGTAAGAACGACGAAGGGTAATACAGTGATATAATTCAATGCTAATATTATATAAACAAATAATATCAGCTTTCTAACTCTTGTGCTCTCAAGGGGACAGTAAAGCTTTTTTCTTTAATCCTTCATGTCGTCAGACTTGTCTAATTTGAAGTTTAAATAATAAATTTGTATTTGCTTTCTCAAAATTTTTAAAATGCTGAATATGCTATGTAATGAGCTTCGGATGTTAAGATGTTATGTGTTATTTATGCTTATGGCTGTGCTTTGTGTATTGGGAAAGTTTATTAAGGGTTTTGAGGGGGATGTGTGTATTTGACTTGTTTGTATTTTGACGTTGTTATTAATTCTCCACTTCGCTAATCTTTCTATTCAGTGTGCTGTATCAACAGCAAAATCAGCCTATGGATGCTTTACAGGCCTATATCTGTGCTGTTCAATTGGACCATGGCCATGCTGCAGCCTGGATGGACCTAGGCACGCTCTATGAGTCCTGCAACCAGCCTCAGGATGCCATTAAATGCTACTTAAACGCAACTAGGAGCAAAAATTGTAGTAATACCTCTGCACTTGCAGCACGGATAAAGTATTTACAGGTAAAGCGAACGTTTTAAGAAGCGGGAGATACTCTTCCAAATACACAGCAGAGGGGGAGGGGGGAAGTAACACACGAGGTTAACTTGCAATTGTTTGTGGTGTGTATAACCTGTTTTCATGTGTATTGTAAGCATATCATAGCCTGTAATATTTTATTTCTTCATTTTTAAGTGGAACTTAATTCCTTATAAACCCTATTTTGCACATTTAATCAAAGCATACTGTTTCACATCACTTTGCTTTTTTCTTTGTATTGTCTACATTTTTAAGTTGTCATAATGTAGAGAGAGAATACACACACAATATCTTTCACTCTCGTTTGCAATTTCAGAAAAAAGGAATTATGAGACCTCTGGTTCCAGAGCTCATCTTTGTTCTGATTCTCACAAAGGTTTATATTCTGGTTACCCTCTTTATACTTAGCACCTCTCTAAGACCCCAAATTTTAAATCTGTCCTCTCTTTAAGACATAATTAGCTACAGCATTTAGGAAGATTTCATGGACTTGCTCTTACTAAAGTAGGCTTGTGTTAAATTTGCTTTTTACATAATTTTTCCTAGGCTCAGTTGTGTAACCTTCCACAAGGTAGTCTACAGAATAAAACTAAATTACTTCCTAGTATTGAGGAGGCATGGAGCCTACCAATCCCCGCAGAGCTTACCTCCAGGCAGGGTGCCATGAACACAGCACAGCAGGTGAGAAGTTGGGTTATGTTCGGCAGGTGCCCAGCTTTAAGGGTTCTTTACAATCGGTAGTGGTCAAGTTTATTTTATTGAGCACAGGACTGGCTTTGATTTATAAAAAGCCTTTGATTTATTTGCAAAGGGATTCTAGATCAAGAAGCTCCCTATAATATGGGAGAAATATGGGGGTACCAATTTAGAACCTTTGTGGATTTTCATGATTTTAAAAGATTTCATCTTAAAATAGAAATGCTGCAGTGGTTTAATAATCCCATGAAAGGTACACATTCCTCCATTGATGACCATATGGAAACTGATTTTTCAGTTATTGAGATCATCTTCAGAATATCTACTCAGCCCTTTTAATGTATGTGGGCTGTTAAAATATGTAATTTAAAGGAGAGAACTAAGAATATATAGAACCATATTTTTGTCTTCCTTCTGTGATTCTTAGGCTTGTAAACCTCATCATCCAAATACTGAACCTGTACTAGGCCTCACTCAAACACCAATTTCACAGCAATCCTTGCCACTACACATGATTCCTTCTAGCCAAGTAGATGACCTGACCAGTCCTGCCAAGAGGAAAAGAACATCTAGTCCAACAAAGGTATATATTCTGGTGAACTAAAGAGCCCCCTACCAAAATTATATGGTAATATGCATTGAAGTGATACAGCATGCACAGAATTTGTGCTGTAAATTGTAATCCTTTGGCATCAAGGTGGGGAATGTTTTTAGGAGTTTTAAAAAACATTATTGGGTGATGTGTTTGAGCAGGTTACAGGTCAGGCAGGAAGCACGTGAGGGCAGTGCAGACTGTGTAAGTGAGAAAGTACAGTTATAGTCGGACAACAGACATGGGGGGACGATCATGTCATCCTGTCTGTTGCCTTTGCTTATATTTAGAATTCAGGTGTTTCATCATCATGTAATAGTGTTACAGTAGATAAAGCATTCAGTTTTAAAAGTAGTGTACATTTACGTTAATTGCATAATTTGATTTGATTGTTTCTCATTATGGTATTAGATATCATGTAGCTTTTTCCTCTGACTGCTTTGATACTGTATGGGAAGGGTAGAAGGAGACTTGGCATGTTCTAGTATGTTCTTTGTCTATATTGTTGTTCTTGAAACAATTGCTAGTTCTTTCGTAAGCAAGATAAAATCTAGATAGGAAAAGAAATTATGTTGACCCTTTGATAGTCACACATTTTAATGTAATGTTTTCTCTCAGAATACTTCAGATGTTTGGAGCAGTGGCCATACAGTGTCACATCCTCCTGTACAGCAACAAATTCATTCTTGGTGCTTGACACCACAGAAATTACAGGTAGGTATGTGGAAGACCTTCAGAAGCATTGGGTTTGGGTTTTTTTCCCTTGCTTGTAACAAAATAAATCTGGTACATTTTTTGGTTTCACGTTTCTGAAATCCAATTCCCAAATAATTCCCACAGTATAATTCAAGTTGTGCAAGTATCTATGGCTTCTCTGTGTGAAATTGGTTCTGTAGTAAAAGAAATGATATCTAGCAGAAACTGAACACTTACAGTGTATGGATTATGTAATTTCTAAAGTAAGAACGTACAGTAATTTTTTTTTCTTACAGTGTTTTAAAGATAGATAAGCAAATTGCCACACTTGTGTGCCAAGTGAGTTTGCTGCTTGATGTAACGTGGGGGATATTGAAGGAGGTGTAGAAGTATTGCAATATCCTCTTTTTCTCTGCAGTAGCTTCTTGAATGAAATTACTTAAACAAACGTGAACATTCAACAAAACACAGTTACTCAGATGAAATCTGATACTGCTTTTCTGTATTTTATGCCATGCGGTATATTTATATGAAATGCTAGATTTTAGTTTTGAAATCTTGTTTCAGGTCTTTTTTGTTACGATGTTTTGTTACCTCTTCAGTTCATTAGGGCTTGCAGTGAGCTTCAGCGTGAATTCCGCACTTTGAAAATCAGACCTAGCTGGAAACTCTTAGCCATGTATCACTTTGGATGCAAGGAAAATTGGAGGGAACACAGTGCAGAGACAGAAGGCATTCTGACTGAGCAGTGTTGCCCTCAACTCTAATATAGTTCTTCAGCTGTTTCTTTATCTGAGCAATATTGGTCCTCCCTAATCACTCTCCTCTTTGTGCATTCTCATTATTTCTCTATTTTATATCCTACTACTTTTCCCCCTTTTCAGTTTCACCTTTTTCCAGATCCACCTTCCTCCTCTAGGCAGTAACAAAGTAGGCTTCTCTGTCTAAGTTCAGTGTGCTGGATTTTCAGGCAGTAGCTTGACAAGGTTCCAGCATATGTGACTAGGAAAGCCAAAGAGGTATGAGGCAGGAGGAAAGCGAATAAAACCTTTATTACATGTTGTAAGTCAGCCTTTTAAAAGTGGCAGCTGAGGGGCTGGATGGGTATGGGACATGGCACACACCAAATGGCTTGGCAAACAAAAGCAGAAGGGGAAAGGGCTGTGGCCACGCCGTCGCCTCTGGGGCTGCCACGTGCCAGCGGGGTCAGGACGGGAGTTGGTGTCACAGAATCAGTGGGCAGCAAGAACAGTGTTACCAGCAAAGCCTCTGCACCTGTAGCGCTGGAGGGGAGCGCAGATGTGCCCCCCCAAACGTACTGCTAGGGCAAATTTCCTGATTCCTGTTACCCGATTTAGGCATTTTTTTAAAAAGCAGGGTAACAGCTGAAGAGCACCACTTCTGTGTACCCGGTGCGTGCGCTCCTGTGGAGACCCTGTTTTCACCTCGCAGTCATACATGGAAGTTTGATTCAGTGCAGCCCCCTAGAAAGGGACTTCAGAGTGGAAGCTGCTGTTAATCCAGGGAGTTTGACATGAACCATCTTGAACCATGTTTTCAGACAGGATTGTTTTGTTTGGTAGCTGGTTTGCAAGTACAGTTGTTCAAAGCAGAACGAACGACACTGTATTTAATACTCGTCCTTCACTTGCATTTAGGTATTGCTAATGCAGCATGATCAAAGCAAAGGGGATGAGAAGGATGTGGAAAATAATATGCACAGGCCTGAAAAGAACTAAAGGAAACCTGATTTGTGTTTGGTTTTTTTGTGGCTTGGTTTGGTTTGGGGATTGTTTGGGGGGGTTTCTTTGAAAGTATTTACAATGATGTGAAGTAGCGTAGTATTTAGGAACAATCGTCAATAATGTCTGGATGTCACCTTCTGTGTGCACAACTTCTGCCCTACTCTCCACACTCCCTCTCCCTTCTCAGGTAGTGCTCTTGTGTTGCACAATTTCAGCATTTATCTCATACCTCCTAACAGCAGCAGACTTATGGGTGTGTGCTGAGTAGAAGTTATATAAAGATCAGATTTTTGGCAATAGATACTTAAATTTATCAGTTGCAAATGAGTTCAATATTGTATCTTAAGATACTGCTCTCTGTAATTCAGCTGTATAGATTTCTGGGTTTGTTTTTTATATTTTCTGGAAAGGTTTTCATGTGTGACTATAGGGTGAGTTTACTTCATGCTGAACAGAATTAATAAAAGAGTAGCACAGTACAAAAAGTGTTAAAATAGACACAGTGATAATAAGAATTCTGTATAGTCATATTTAAATGTAGTTTTCTTTTACAGTGCTGGTATACGTAATTTTAGTGTGGTGATAAGATTTATATGCTTAAATAATTTAGAAAGACGCTTGAGTTTTAGTAACTAGTACTAAGGTTTGGTTAAGAGTAGTGTATGTAAAGATGGTTGAGTCTGCAGCAGGAAAAAAAATTCAGCATTACAAGTCTTGTCTTCCTGGGCAATTTTAGTAATGTATGCAAGAAAGTTATTAAAAAGCACATGGTGGTTTCAGTGATTCTGAACTGTGCGGCTGTTTTTTCAGCACTTGGAACAGCTGCGTGCAAACCGAAATAATCTAAATCCAGCACAGAAACTTATGCTGGAACAGCTGGAGAGTCAGTTTGTCTTGATGCAGCATTACAAGTCTTGTCTTCCTGGGCAATTTTAGTAATGTATGCAAGAAAGTTATTAAAAAGCACATGGTGGTTTCAGTGATTCTGAACTGTGCGGCTGTTTTTTCAGCACTTGGAACAGCTGCGTGCAAACCGAAATAATCTAAATCCAGCACAGAAACTTATGCTGGAACAGCTGGAGAGTCAGTTTGTCTTGATGCAGCAACACCAGCAGGTGAGAACAAAAATATTTTTATCTTCTACAAAACTTTCACCAATAATAGTGTCTGTTGTGTTTCTTGAGTTCTGAAGAATTTCGGTTGTACAGAGTTCTCATGCCCTTTACTACATTACATTAAATCATCTTTTTTTGTATGAAGTCTAATGGTGGTTTACTGGTTGAAACATAAAGGGGTTTAGTTGTGTTTTGTTATAGGCCTACCAAATAATATAAAAGTTTTCAAACCACACTTTCAAACTGAAGCGAGTGGACACGTCTAAAGGCAGTCTGACTTGAAAAATACTTACTTGTAGTAAGCGGTATTTCAGCATATCTCTCCTCCTCTCATTGTTCGCTTCTCTCTCTCTTAGTGTCCAACTTTAGCAGTAAACGCTAACACTCAAACTGAAGAGCCTAGAAGAAGTGTGCCGATAGCTTTACCTTAAAATTCACTCAACGCGTTTGTGAGCACGACAGTCATCTTATTTCTGAAAAGCGACTGTGAAGATCTTTAAAATCAGTATAAAACTGGAATTGACCAGTGCAATAAAATACACAGATGTTGTATGATCTTTGCTTTTTAAATTCTGCAGCTGATGTTGTTGTGCTTTGTTCCTCTTCCGTTAGATGAGACAAACAGGAGTTGCACAGGTACGATCTACTGGAATTCCTAACGGGCCAACAGCTGATTCATCACTGCCTACAAACTCTGTCTCTGGTCAGCAGCCGCAGGTTGCTCTAACCAGAGTGCCTAATGTCGCTCAGCGTGGAATCCGTCCCGCCTGCCCTGGGCAGCCTATGGCTAATGGACCCTTTCCAGCAGGCCCCATTCCCTGCAGCACAGCCAGAACGCTGGGTAGTACAGACACTATTTTGATAGGCAATAATCACATAACAGAAAGTGGAAGTAATGGAAACGTGCCTTACCTGCAGCGAAACGCACTCTCTCTACCTCATAACCGCACAAACCTGACCAGCAGCGCAGAGGAGCCGTGGAAAAACCAACTATCTAACTCCACTCAGGTATACCATTTAACTTTACTCATAGACTATGCTAAGGAGGCTTGATAAGCAAGTCACTGAAGTCTCTCATTTGTAAATTGATACATTTTCTATTTCCTCAAGTCTAGATGCAAATAGAACGTACACTAGGTTAAATGTGCCTATTGCTTTTTACTGTTAAAAATCTGTGTATTCAATTAACTACTTTCAGGACAAAGGAAGTGATCGTAAGTCAAAGAGAGTGGCTACATACTGCTCAGCTGCCTACCTTTGCAGAAATGTTTCTTTAAAAAGGGATACTTGTATATCTCTGTTGCTTCTTAAACGTGAAACGTTGTGAGGCTGTTTTTTGTCTAGGAGGAGTGTGTATATTTCATGGGAAGATGAATGCCTTTAGTTTTGACTTTACATTGTCATCATGATGAAGTCATTACCCATACTTTGTTTTCATATGATCTTTCAAAATTAATATCTAGGAATTAGTCCCACAGAGTTACTGGCAGAAAAATACTGTAATGCCAGTAAAAATCCAAAGGGAGTAAACTCTGTAAGTGAGGGTGTTTTGTGTATATGTGTGTTAGAACTTGAAGATGGAGCTTATTTTTTTTAATTTCAGCCTAAATGTCTTTCTCGTGAATATAACGAGGTGTTCTATGGGAAGATAGCAGATAGCATAATGATTTAATACGCTTTTACTAGATGTGCTGTACAGCTTGATACAATATTGTTTTCATCCTCAAAACTGCATGAATTTATTGTTTAATTAATATTGCACATTAATGCTGAAAGAATTAACAGTAGGCTGTGACACAGATAAACATACATGCTCAAGTGCACCTACACTGTAACAAAGGCTGAGATAATACCAGAACATCTTGTGCGAAAGTGGTTATTCCAAACTAAACCAGGTTTGTAACATGATTTTTAACAAGTTTCCTCTGTACCGGTAGTGCTATTTACATGTTTTATGAGCATGGCAGGGGAATGTGGAGCCTCTTAGTCTCACTACCTCTGGCTTGAATTCACTTTTCTGCTTTCTCTGCACTGTGTAAAAGCAGCGGTGCACTTGCTAGAGAGGTGTCTGCTTCATACCACGTGTCTGTGGTGCTCGTGGCCATAAAGTAGGCAAGGAGTGAATGGCAATAGGAGCTGACTGCTTTCCGTGGAGATTGCGGATTTGAAAAGGCTGGGTAACTGTTCCAGGGAAAGCTCGTGGTGCCCTTTCCTAAATCCATTGCATCTTTGTTCTGTGTGAAGTGTATATGGAGAACAGGGTCTCAGCAGAATTTCTGAGTCTGTCGCATTCTCCACAGGTTACCAAATGAACTCTCAATTTAAAAAACTAATTATCAGTAATTAAGTTACATAGAGGAATCAAGAAATTACGTATACAGGTATGACATGCATAATGCAGTTTGTAATTGAGAAAAAACTTGGTCTATAATAGGTTTAGCAACACTTCAAAAAAAACCAGTGGAAACCAGGCTAGGAGGAAACTTCAACACAATTGGGAGCCTCCAAAGTGGGAATGTTTCCCTTTCCAACATAAAACCTCAGTTACAAGTAAACGTAAAAGTGAATTCTTTCACCATTTTTTACATTGA